GAGCCTGATGGGCTAGAGTCCATGGTGCTGCAAAGAGTTGGATACAACTGAAGCTACTTAGCACAGCACAGCATGTGTACTAAATACTATTTTACCTATAAATATACCTGTACACAGAAGAGACAAAATATAGTAGCTGAATTTTAAACTGTATAAAGATATGGTCAAGGCATTTCTAAATAATTTCACCTTTAATCAGAAACTGCATATAGTTTAACACTTTAGGTATAACTTAGTTTTGAGTTATTGAGATATAGTTGATATAACTTGCAGTTTGTCACTTCGAAGTATAAATTTCAATGGCTTTTGTTATAGTCACAGAGTAATGCATCTATCTGAGCCATAATCAGCTCCCAGTATTATTTTTGCTGACTGTATAGAGCTTCTCCATCTTTGGCTGCAAAGAATATAATCAATTTGATTTCGGAGTTGGCCATCTGGTGATGTCCATGTGTAGAGTTTTCTCTTGTTTTATTTGAAGAGGGCGTTTGCTATGACCAGTGCGTCCTCTTGGCAAAACTCTATTAGCTTTTGCCCTGCTTCATTCTGTATGCCAAGGCCAAATTTGCCTGTTACTCCAGGTGTTTCTTAACTTCCTACTTTTGCATTTGAGTCCCCTATAATGAAAAGGACATCATTTTGGGGGTGTTAGTTCTAAAAGGTCTTGTAGGTCTTCACAGAACCATTCAATTTCAGCATTACTGGTCAGAACATAGACTTGGAATACCATGATATTGAATGGTTTGCCTTGGAAATGAACAGAGATCATTCTGTTGTTTTTGAGATTGAATCCAAGTACTGCATTTCAGACTCTTTTGTTGACTATGATGGTTACTCCATTTCTTCTAAGGGATTCTTGCCCACAGTAGTAGATAGAGTGATCATCTGAGTTAAATTAACCCATTCCAGTCCATTTTAGTTTGCTGATTCCTAAAATGTCAATGTTCTCTGTTGCAGCAAAATGGCTGTCTGAGGAGGCCTTACAAAGAGCTATAAAAAGAAGAGAAGCAAAAAGCAAAGGAGAAAAGGAAAGATATTCCCATTTGAATGCAGAGTTCCAAAGAATAGCAAGGAGAGATAAGAAAGCCTTCCTCAG